ACACACACACCCACACACACACACACACACACACACACACACACACACACAGGAATTACCAGCTGCCGGTGGTATCGGTGTCGACCAACATAACTCGGACCTTGTGTGACCGCCGTTCGTTGTTATTTGCAATTTTACCCTAATATTACTAGAGGTAAAAGATTTCGTTTATGTTTTATACCGTTATAGTCCTCTCGAGAAATCTTTATTTTATAGACGCAATTTTTTTGTTTTAGATAAAACTTACACGGTCTGTATGACTTTCATGACTTTCAGAGCTACTTTTCCGTCTACGAGTCTATCAAAAAAAAATGCTACTTCGCGTTAAAATTATTACGGAAATTTTTTATCGAAGTTCCGGTAGGAAAGCAAAGACTATAACTATAAAACATTCGTAACATCCTGGGTAGAGGTCAAACGTGTTCCCCCCCCCCCCCATTTTTCAACATGTTATCAGACTTCTCCTTGTGTAAGACCAGCCGACCGAAAGTTTCCGATGTACATCTAGTCTCACAATGAGTCCCTAAACTGACTCCTGTTTGGATTGAGTCTAGAAGTAAGTCTAAAAAAATTTTTGATTTTCGTTTTTATGTAATTATAGTTATTAGTATATTTAGTTTTTTTTTATTAATTTTAGCAGCTGTTCTATCCCGGTTTTTATATTGTATATTTTACTACAACTCACATTCACGATCGGTATAAACTCAAGGACTGCGAGACAACCTCCTCAATTTGTCAGTATAAAGTCAACGGAAACGATCCGTCTAAGTCACCGTGTAGACTTCTAAGCGGACGACGGAAATCGGCACACCTCACTGTCTAATCTGTACGTTTAGTGACAACTTTCAAAGCACTGACTATTGCAGGACGGTTCCGCACTCGTTATCTTTTCCTCTTCTTCAGACGCCGTCGTCCGAGGGTCTCTGATCGATCGCACAGACGACAACAGTAGGAGACAGAAGCGTCGTTTTTGTGAGACGTCTTATTAATGGCTATAAAACGACGGTAGTTTCTTTCAATTCACAAAGTATCACAAAGAGAAATGTTTGGGAAACTTCACTCCCCCCCCACCCCCGTTTCGACCTTGACCACGATTATTGGGGCGGACTTTGCAACACAGGAGTGCGCGACCCGACAATCTTCGGAAAATCGTACCCCCTTATGAACTTGAACTGACCTCTTCGTGTTTCTCGAAATACTTTTTATTTGTTTCTGGAAGTGTGTGTGGAGTCACAGTCGAGAGGATCGAACGTGCTGCACATGTTTATTTATGTGTGACCTTCCTATAAAGAGACACTAGTCAAGCGTTTAGGTCCTGTTCGAACTAAATTACGGTACGATTACTTTATTCTTACCCTCATTGTCCTGAGAGGTAAACGGCGAGGAAGTGACGAAAGAAAGAAAAAGAAGAAAGGTGAAAGAATATAGAAAAGAAGGAAGAGGTAGTAGACTCCTGAAAAAGCACCACAGGAGGGCTCGGTAAACCTTTCGAACGTACAGCGTTAGTCAAACGACGACTTACACTTAGGTAGGCACTGTAAAATAGATTAGTCGGAGGGCACTGGAAGGGGTTAAGGGAGACTCGGTTTAATACGTTTATTGTCACTTATGGACAGGTTAATCTCTAGTTTTGCGGTTTTGCGGGAATGCGAACAAAGGAGGAACTCCCCTTTTCTCCCCGGGTGTCGATTATATGTTATGTAACGTCGTTGCTGACTCGCCTACATCAAGATCACCCATAAAAAAGATCAAACTCCCCTTACGACGACTGAGGCAGCAGGAAGAGAAAGCGTCGTTGACAACCATATACCTGTAGAAAACCACCCTGTCGTATTTCATCGACGTGAACTCTATAACAAAGTTCGGATCTCAGACACTAAGTTAGACGTCATTTCTTAATAAGTAGGTATTAACATATAGTGAAAGTTGAGTGACACACACACACACACACACACACACACACACACACACACACACACACACACACACACACACACACACACACACACACACACACACACACACACACACACACCTCGCCCGTCGATGGGAAAAAGCTGCAGTAATGCATTCTGGGATTTTGTGGTGAACACACTTTATATGTTCAACCACCCAAATACTTTCTTTCGGTAGTTCAGTCTACATTATTTATATCTGGTACAAGATTTTTTAAAAACACTAGCTGGCTGTGATGGACAGGTGTCACACAGTGGGGCATCATAGGTCACCTTATCTTTAATAGTATGGTCAAATTCAAGACATTTTTTTATTTAAATTAGAAAAAAACTTAACGGACCATAATTGATTATGTTACCAAACATTATTAAATTATATGTTTTGGGCCACAGAGCCCCTGTTTAAGACCCATGCTTTTATTAAAATAGTAATTACATAAATGTACATTAGTGTATTTATAAATGTATCATTAAACAAATCTTTAAGTCAAGACAAATATCAAACGGAGCCATTTCCATTAGTCTGTTATATTTAAAGATTAGCTAAATGTCACATTGATATAACTTCTATAAGTGAAGGTTTAGGTCATGGTTAAGAGAAACAATTTTTACTGAGAGATGAAAGTGGAATAAAGTGGATTGAAATAGGTTAAATGTGTCCTCTCGTCACATTGACTTCCTCACTCTTACTTTTCAACAAGCCGTTTTACTTCCTGTTTCATGTCATGTCCAACTAACCCTTTCCCGAAAGCCCTGACTTTACATCGGGTTCCTTTTACACAACATACTCAGTCCCAAACAATTCCCGGTCACACAAATAAAAGATTCCCGGGTCACACAAATAAAGAAAAAACTCAAAGCAAATCTTAACATTACATACATTTTCAAATCTTAAAAAAAAAAGTCCAGTAAGTGGGAGAAAATGGCGTTCATGTGCACAAAGTAAAAGTCTTAATGCACTCGCCGAAGAGTTCCTAAAGCTTCAAGCACTCTTATGTAAGGAATACATCGCTCTCACAAATAGGACCACCTCCACTCGATGTGTGCAAGTCGCCCGCTGCTGTATGGATTGAATCATAAGTCTGAAATGGCGTGACTACAAACTGTGAGTTATGCTGGGATCTCTCCAAACATCAAATGCTCTGGACATCCATCACTCCGCCGCTACATGAAGTTTAAAGCCCCTGATGTGTTCACTGCTCTGCCTTTTCTTTGGCACTGTGAACAATGCTAGAGCTCCATTCAAGAAGCAAGCTCCTCCATAGACTCTTGCTTTAAAAAGTCTACTTTGACCATTGTTTCAAGTACTCGGTAAAGAGTGTCGAAATATAGATATTTTCAATTTGACTAATTAACAACCTATGATTAATACTGTTAAGATTTCAGGTATATATACATATTTCAAACACAAATACAATTTTGAGTAAAGAGAAATTCTTTACCTCACAATTATGTTTATTCAGATTTTAATACAAGAAAGTTTTGATAGTATTTAAAACAGA